AATTCTTTTTAAAAAAAAATTTATTAAAAAAAAAAAAAAACGAAATAACTTTATATTTTTTCAACAGAAAAATATTTTGCATTCTGTGTCTGAAAAACATATATAGATGATAAATAGAACCCAATAGTCACCGTATGTCTGAGCTGTAGGCAGATAGACATACTTTGTGCTCACTGTTTAAAGCTCAAAGTCATTTTCATCTTACATACCGGGTAGCTCAAACACAGAGATCGACTCTTATTAATGGCACCATTTCTATTGACTATTGATCATTTCCTGATATTTGTTTTTAGCGGGGCACGTGTCAGTCTGAAGGACAGACAAATCCATTTAAAAAGAAATAATTACCTGTATCTTTTAAACGAATTGCTGCTATTACTATAGACATACTTGTAACCAATAAATATATTTCTACGTGTTTAACCCCTTAACCGGGAAAAAAAAATTAGTTTTATAATTGGACCACAGAAGAGAAAAAGAGCTGAGGAGACTAGGAAAACGGGTAAACTTGCAAAATTAACATCTTGGTTGAATCCAATCAAAATATCAGTACTGGGGAAATTGTAAAAAAATGAAGCACACAAAGCTGTGTCAGAAAACGAGAGAATGTGATTCACCACACAGATCCCGGGTTTTGGAATATTAAGAGCACTTGTACAGTAGAGCACTGAATTCGCGGTAGGCCATCATTGTGTCAGAATCATGACTGCAACCTTTCAAACTCAGGCAGAGCTGGAGAAGAAAGAACTTAGACAAGGTATTTATCAAGAAATATCTTCAAACGTGAACTGAGGAATGGCGAGTATGTAAAACTCGAATGGCTTCTCTATTCACCATACCCAGGTGGTTTGTATTGTTTTGCGTGTCGTCTGTTGTCCAAAAAAATATATTTCCCTTTGCTATATCAGGATCTAAGTACTGGAAACATAACAATCTAAGTGTAGAACATGAGAATGGAGTAATGCATCGCAAGGACATGACTGCATATTTTCTTCGACTGAAAGAAGCTAGGTGTTTATGTCCTCTATTAATCAAAGACCATTATAGGTCAAAACAGAATGATGTACTGGCATAAAGTTCCGACTCGTGGGGTTTAAGTCGTTCGCTTTCTTGCCCCCAGAGGTTTGGGTCAAACTATTGGGTCAGTAAATAAGGGAAATTGTTTAGGTAATTGAGAGCTGCTGAGTGAATTTAACCCTTTTTCTGAACTTAGTGGGCTTAAAAGCAGCAGAGTGTTGTCTACAAGTTGGAACATTCTTTGACTTTGTTCAGCGCCTATATACCATTTTCTCAGCTTCCAAACATCGATGGAATGTTCTGGTATCTTCCTTTGGAAAATCTCTCGCTGTCGTAAAGCATCTGTCTGACACAAGATGGTCGGCACATTTTGATGACGTCAACGTTTCTAAAAAAAAAACCAAAAACAACAAGATGCTCTGGACTCTGTATCAGCTGACACTGATCAGGAAAAGAAAAAACGAGGCGTGAAGCAGAAAGACTAAGTAATAAAATGGAGAGCCTGATAATTTATCATCATCTGGGATGAATTATAATGTATTTCTGACAATGTTTTAAAACCATTATTGCACTGGAATGAATTATTTTTTTGTTGGTATAAATAAGTTGAATTAACCTATTTTTAACTTTATTGAATGTTTATTCTTATTTTACAATTTTATTCCTCCTGGTTAGTTGGGTTGGGAGCAACAAATGTTTGTACAGGGGATATTAGACTTAGGCCTGTCTAAGGTGACTGCGTTCAAGCCGTGTGAAGTAAATAAATAGTGTACCGGTAATAAGATATTTTTAGGCTTGAAAAAAATATAGTGAGACCCCCGTTATTGGGGCGTCCATTAATTGCGTCAACAAAATTGGGGGGGGGGGGGGTTTGACAGTTGTTGACAGGGGGGGGGGGCAGGTTTAGATTAGTTAACGTCAACAATCATGTTTTTTCTATTAAAATTTTAATCTTAAAAATTGACTGGTTCTTACATTTTTTTAAACAATTTCATGAGTGTAAATATGGCGTCCATTAATTGCGTCAACAAAATTGGGGGGGGGGGGGGTTTGACAGTTGTTGACAGGGGGAGGGGGCAGGTTTAGATTAGTTAACGTCAACAATCATGTTTTTTCTATTAAAATTTTAATCTTAAAAATTGACTGGTTCTTACATTGTTTTAAACAATTTCATGAGTGTAAATAGTCATAGGCTTTTAACGATATATTAGTTTTTTAATGGGTGTCTTTCTGTGCACGGCAGATGGTTGGTCAGAATATCTCAAGGAACTGATTTTATTAATATGTATCCGTGAAGAGCCTGCGGTTTTCATCACAGTACTTGCTGAGTGTTCCTAGTGTGTATAAACAGAAAAAAGTCGTACGGAGTGCGCTCTTTTGAAGCGATAGCGCCAAAATTATGGAACAGTTTGCCTCAATCTTTGAAGGGAATTGTAAATGATAAAAAATCATTTAATAAACAATTAAAACGTTTTTTGTTTAAATAGATTTCGGAGGACCAGAGCGCAGTGAGCATGTTACAATGGCATGGATACCGGCGCGATAGAAATATCAAATCAATCAATCAATTAGCACACTTTGTTAGTGCAAGAGAGGTCAAAAGTTGGCATCTCTTCACCTGTCATTTTTCTCTTAATCCGCTCCCTAGAATGATAAACACATCATTGTACACGGTGTTCAATTAACAAAAAAACAAAAACAAAATAAAAAAAACCAAATTATCTGTGTTCAATAACAGCTATACCAACTCAAAGACAGAGAGAGCCTATGGCAATTATTGCTCACACTGATAATCATGGGCGCCCGCAGGGCAAGGGGTGCACTTGCCCCCCCCCCCCTGGATTGATTGGATACAATTTTTTTAGACAAAAATAGACAAAAAATGTATTAAAGTAAAGAGAAAATAAAGAGAAAGTAACTAAGCTGATGACCTGTCCGTTCGTTCACCATACAAATACGCTACAGTAAATTAAAACTACATTAAAACATTACTA